CATTAGCCCAATAATTGGGAACCATGTCAACCTATCAAAAGGGAAGGTTACATAAAGACTGTGGCTAATTTACAACTCAATAGGACTGCAGCCCACAACCCTTATGTGCAATTCTATTCAGCGTTAAGCAAGTGTCCCAGGGTATCAGAGCAACAACTTAAAACGTGGCAGGAATGTAAGAGAGGTTGGGACAAAAGTCTGACCATTTATATAGAGAAATGGGAATATATTCAAAGCAATACAAATCAGCAAGTGGATAAAAATTCATTGGGTCATGTTTTGGCACACTATATTGACTGCCTTACCAAATGGAATCTTATTTTGAGTTTGCCTTTGACCTTAGTTCAGTCTGTTAGTGAGTATGCTGTATGATAATGTTAGTAGCATTTTAAGATGTTCTGATTTGTTCACTGGTTCATATAATACGTTTCTGCCATGTATCGGGATAAACTGAGGAAGTGACTGAAGTGTGAAACTGACTGCAAACAATGGATGTGTTTAAATATAGAATCCATTTGACCAACTCAAGGCAATGAAATAAAGAATTTACAATTGCAGAGTGCCTTATCACATCAACCCATCTTAGAGCGGTAATTATTGTCAAGTGGATTGACTGTTAATATTAATTAGCAGTCAATTGTGGAGTTCTGCAGCTTAGTGGTTAGAGTACTCACCTCGCAAGTGAGAGGACCTGGGTTGATTCCCGGCAGGGCAAAATATTGGGCAAGTTTCCTTACTCCACACGTCTCTGTTTACCTAACAATAAGTAGGAATCCGGTGGATCGCTTTTCTGGGGGTAATAATCCTTTCGAAGCAATAATAATTTGTTTACTCAATCCACAGCTATTTGTGGGATCCTACTGTGTGCAATTGGCTGTCGTGTTTCACCAACAAAATATACAGTCAATTCACTTTACAGGTTATTCTATTGAAGTGTTTTGAAATGTCTAGAAGACATGATAAGGCATTATATCAAATGCAAGGATTATTATTATATAATGTAGGCAAACACAGCAGCCATTTGCAATAAGAAGGTCCCACAAACCTCCATGAGGTGAAAAAGAGCGATTCTTTGTATTTTGTTGTTGGGATGCCATGGGATCTTTAGAGTCCACAAGAACTGGAAGAGTGAAATTCAGTTTAATATCCAAAAGATTATACCTCTAATAAGACACATTCACTCGTAGTATTACATTGACTCGAGTCAGTGTGGACTGTGATCTTAAGTTCTAATATGGGGATTGAACCCACAATTTTCTGATCTGGAGCTGAGCATCGCCAACTTAGCCAAGGTGCAGCGTGACATCAATGTCCAGGTCCCATATGTATGCTGAACAATGGGAAGCACACTGTGTACAGAACAACAACAACAAAATTACCTTTGTAATGTGCATTTCACATCGGGTGCTGAACAGTCAGGAGTCAGGATCCGAGCATGTGGGGGCAGGGTTGGGATGAGGGAAGGCAGAGGGGGTAGGAGAGCGGCTGAAGGCATGGTCGAAAAGGAGGATTTTGAGTCTGCCTTGAAGGAGGCAAAGGGAGGGAGCAAGGCAAAAGGAATGTGGACGGAGTTCCAAAGGGTGAGGGGCAGAAAGGCTGAAAGCCCGGCCGCCAATGGTAGGGTCGGTCGGGCGGGAGACATGGAGCAGGCTGGAGCCTGCTGAACAGAGGGAGGTGACAGGTTGATAGGGGGTCAGAGAGGCAGGAGAGGGCAAGGCCGTGGATGACCTTGAAAGTGAGGACGAGGATTTTGAATTCTATCCACTGAGGGATGGGGAGCCAGTGGAGCCAGGTGGGGGTGATGAGGTCATGGAGCCAGGTGCAGGAGAAGACATGAGCTGAGTTCTGGATAATCTGCAGCTTGTGAAGGGAAGAGTTGGGGAGGCCGACAAGGAGAGAGTTTCCATAGTCGACCCGTGAGGTGACGAATGCGTGTATGAGAGTTTCAACAACCTGAGGGGTGAGGCATTGGTGGAGTCAGGCAATGTTGTGGAGGTGGGGGAAGGCAGAGAGGGTCATGGCATGGATATGGGGAGAAAGGGTAGTTGAGGGTTGAATAAGACGCTCAGGTTCCTGACTGGCTTGGTGAGGTGGTGTGTGCATCCCTGGATGGTGTTGCTGCCATTGCCTGAAGGGCAGAGGCGCTGATGCAAGCCAATCGGGAGAGCCTCGGTCTTGCTGACATTCAGCTGTAGAAAGTTGGCTCTCATCCAGAACTTGATGTCTGACAGACAGTCTGTCAGGACATCAGTGGTCCTGGAATTGAGGGTGGAGGCAGAGAGATAGAGTTGAATGTCATCCGCATACATGTGGAAGTTGACCCTATGTCTGCGGATGATGTCACCAAGAGGGAGCATATAGAAGAGGAGGGGACTGAGGACAGAGCCCTGAGGAACACCGCACAAGACTGTTTGAGGGCTGGAAGCGAAACCGTTGGTGGAGACAAATAGGAGACGGTATGAGAGATAAGACCTGAATCTTTCAAGGACCATTCCAAGTACAGAAATAAGAATGAGTGGAAGATGCTGATACCCTCTACCTGAAATTTCTGATCTGGAACAGCCTCAACTTTTCCATTGTTTGCTGCTGCATATGTTTAAACCCAGAAGACATCTGATGCCATGGCACAGATTACTTCAATTTTGTTGGAAATACCTAATCATTGCAATCTTCTCAAGACAAACAATCTATATTTTAAATGAAAATCCATCCAACATTACTCCAACCTTCTTCACAGCATGCCCTACCAAGTTGCTTAGCCGGTCACTTGGTGAGGAACGCTTTTCCTCTCTACTACCAACCCCCACCACTGCCTTCACAGTTTTCTACGGAAATGTTTTTGTCCCAGTTCATGAAAATGGTTAATTAAAGGAACAGAAGAAATTGAGAACAGACATCAGCTGGAAGTAAAGTGAGACAAATTTGAGTGTGCAGACCTCAATCTTGGGGTGTTTGCTGTGAAAGGTATGGAAGGCAATACCTAACATCAGCATGTGTGCATGTACATTACAATAGAAAATTAGCAGAGACAGCGGAAGCCCAAAAGTCTCATGCTCTCAAGCTTCAGACCATTTTCTTAAAAGATTTAGGATTGTTAAGAATTTTGGCAAGTTCTTAAATTCAGCCTTTTTTTTAAGAACTGTGGAAAATTGTCTTCTAAATCGAGACTGAATCTAGGAATTTTCTAAAATTATGTACGCTTAAATTTTTAAATCAATGGCTCTCAGGCTAAGACTTTGAGAGTTTTGGGACAGATGGTACGAAAGAGCAGGCAGTTCCTATTTTCCAGTGATTTGACATAATTAGTATTGCTCAAGGATGGTTTTCTTTAATTAATGGCTGACATCATTTAGTCTCATTGCTCTGCAGGGAAAGGCAACATGTGGGCATTAGGTAACCAATAATGGTTAAAGAGGAAATGAGGAAGAGGATAGTCAGAACAATCTGTGATATGTAGGTTGATTACTGAAACCATCAGAACAGTGTGAGGTAGTAGTAAAGAGAGCACATGGGACCATGGGGTTTATAGTACTCCGAGATGTTGTCCTACATGAATGGTGCGATATAAATGCCAGTTTTTGTATGTATGGATAAATAGATAACACACAAGTCCAGCCCCACTTGGAGTACTGAGGTCAATTATTGTCGCTATATTACAGAAGGGACATTTTTGGACGGGTGGGATGCAGTGAAAGATAACCAGATTGATGTCTGGAATTAGACATTTGAGTTACAAGAACATACTTCATAATCTGGGAGTGTTCACAGAGCATTGCAGGAGGGAAATCTCACTGAAGTTTTCAAAATCCTAAAGGGCAGCAGTAAAGTCATGATGGATATGTTTAACATAGTGGCAAATTTTACGATAAAGGGACACAAGCTTAGAAGAGAGAAGATGAACGGACAGTTCAGACTTTCAATACTTGCACAGAGATTGGCGAATATCCATCCACTGGATTGAGGACTATCCAGGGAGGCAGAGAAGCCAGATTGTATCAGGAATGAGGGAATTATATCGTGAAAGAAATCGCTTAACTTTTAAAAGAATTATTGCATGTTTCTTTTTTACCTTGTGACTGGCCAGATTTATATTCCTAAATGCAAAATAATTTTGAAGCCTTGATGAGGTTAACAAATAGGTTAATGGTGAGGAAGGCAAGGCAATGTGGAAGCAGTGCTCTCTCTCTCTTTGTGACACACGTTCTGCTTCTTTCCTTCTCAAGTTAGCTCCACTTACTCTGCTATTCACACTCCATTATTAATAATAATAACAAGCGCTCGGTGACGCTACCAGTGTGAGTGGTGCTACATAAGTGCAAGTCGTTGTTTTTGCAATAATCATTATTATTCCAAAACACGAAAATTTTCATGCATAGGTGGCATGGTTTGGATGCTCTTTAATGTGGTGATGGGTTTACTCGTGTCGGATACCCAGCTGACCAAATAAATTACTCTCCCCTATACCCTTGTACAAATCAAAATCTTTTTCTCTCTTTTCTTTCTGACTCTTTCTGACTTAGTACAATGGAAGCAAATAGTGTGTATTATATTTGTTCTTAAACTGTTGTTCGTAAACAAAATCTGAAATTAAGTTGTGTTAGACTAATCAGACAAATCTGTTGCACACGCCTCTTTGAGGCTCTGAAGTGTACAGTGTATTTCTTTAAAAAAGACTATGAAGATTATATGAAATTTAAGCACGAGTCCACTGATTAGCTAGGCACACATTCACAGTGCTGAACTTGTGTGAAAGAGTCCATCCGAGATCACAACTCTTTTCTAACCCATGCAGTACAAGTAACAATTTTGTGTGTGGGTTTTTGTGAACTATATCTAACTCTGTATGCAAATGCACATCAATTGTGAAAACTAGTGGAAACTACAATATAATATGTTCACAATGGTACTGCTGCACCTTGCATCGAGGCAGGTTATGAATTAAACACACTGTCTCTACAATCATTAATCTCACCTCTTGGTTTGTCTTTCTCTTCCTGTAGGTCTCCAATAGCCGATTAGATGTCTCTGGATATGAGGATGAAGAGTACAGGGTTTGTTTTTATTAACTTTTTGTAAATATTAATGGGTCATTGTTTCTGCATTCACTGTGCATTCACTCTATTCGTGCTTCAAATAGCTTATCGGCAGGTTGAAAGATTAAATGGCTGACTTCTGGGTCAGGAGATCATCTGATAACAGCAACAAAGCTTGCATTTATAGTCCTCTTCACACAAGTAGCACTTGATGTCATTTTCTGCATGCTGCATGAAGCACTGATGGAACCAACACATATAATTTGGATTATTTGGGAATGTTGAAGCCTTGACAAAGTTGACAAATAGGGGATCAAATGTCGGGGACCATACCCCAATCCAAGTAGAAACAAAAAAATTACATTTGTAAAGCGCCTTTCATGTCAGGAGGACGTCCCAAGGCACTGGACAGACAGAGTTATGGACCCGAGCTGGGGGTCAGGGTAGGGAAGGGGGAGGGCGGCGGGGAAGCAGGGAGATCAAAAGCACGGTTGAGTGCGGGAGAGGACACGAGCTGCAGAGGTCTGGATGATATGCAGTCTGTGGAGAGAGGAGTTGGGGAGGCTGACAAGCAGTGAGTTTGCAGAGTCGAACCTTGATGTAATGAAGGTGTGTATGAGGGTTTTAGTGGAAACAGACCCACTTATCATGAAATAATAATAATAATCCTTGCATTTCATATAGAGCCTTATCACATCTTTGAGACGTATCAAAGCATTTCACAGAATATACTGTAAAGTGAATTGACTGTATATTTTGTATATTTTGTTATAATGGGTTCCACTATATCTGTAAGATCTTATCTGAGATGTCTCTTAAAGCCTTAAAAGCCCAATCTTTAACACTGGTAATCTGATTTGTTGTAAACTTTGTCAAATTAACGAACCGACTTCTTTGGAGAGGGTTGACGGATTGATTCATCTTTCTATGTCATTTGGAGATTACTTCAGTGTCTGTTGTACCAGATTGTGTGCTCAGGTCATCACAAGACATTTTTGTTACAAGACATGTTTAATAATTCATGCCTAGTTTTGCAAACGTGGTCTAAAAACAGCTTTGCTTTATCTCTCTGGTCCTCCTAGGGTCGTTCGGAAAGTCATCATGACATTTCTGACTGCCTGTCTAACTCTCAGGACTGTTCCTGGTATGCAACCCTACCGAAAGATTCCCCGCGCCGAGTGAAAGATACTGCAGGTAATTGTCAAGCTGTGTAGCTCTGTTTTGTGTGGAAAAGATTGTGACACGGTTACATTTTAAGAGGTCTTTTATAGGTCAAATGTTTCTATAAGTATGCAACATTGGAGCTCCACTGATGGCTGAGTGAGTGCAGTATTTGGTCTAAGATTAGACTATCAAGATCAGTAAATTAGAGGTTTAAACCTCAATCTGACTTGATTGATCTCAACCAGGGTAACAAAGGGACACTGCAATTGGCTTCAGTAACCTTATGTTAAGGAAGGGAAAAACCTTATGTGTATATAAATAATATTCCCAAAATGTATATCCAGAGACCTTGGCTGGAAAGTACACACATGGACATTGTATAAGGACAGTATCAGGTTGTGGTGCTGCCTGTAGCTCTTTCAGGAGGAGAGAATTGGAATGGGTGAGGGGCAATAAGTACATTTGTCACAACAAAAAACATGTTGTTCGGCAATGAATTGGTGGAGGTGGTGCCATTTGTTGCTCTGATAGTCTTCTCCTTATTGTGCAGGAAAGTTTACCTTTATCTTTTTTTTCTATCTTATGTAATGAGCTCCATCACCAAGCCAACCAATGTGCACATTTTAAAAAAAAGACTTCACAGATTAAAAAGTGCTTTGTTGCTTAGTGATCATAGTTACTAAGCAATACTAAGATCGTGGGGGAGGTGGGGGGGAGCAGAATACTGCAGTTGCTGGAAATCTGAAATAAAAACGGAAGACTTCTTAAAGAGGAGTTTGAATGTTAGAAATATTAAATGGGAACTTGGGTGGAGTATTTATCTGAGATGTGCTGTTTTATTCCCCGCTGGCAGGTTCCACACCAGAGAGCCCACACTCGTTCATGGGGAGTCCCCTCAAAGCCTTTTCTCCTCAGCCACCGAAGTTCCTGAAATCGCTAATGCCTGTGAAAGAGGAACGGAAAGGCAAGCAGCTCATAGAGTCCAAACCACTACTGGGAAATGAGGTAAAACCCCACTTTACTCTGGTGAAAAGCACCCAAGGCAATGTCTGCACTGTAGAGGAGGAGAGCCACAGTATTCCAGTTATATTACAAACTACTTATCTTGCATTTAGGGGAACAATCTGCAATATTTCATAACAGATTTGACCCTGGCTTAATGGTTAGGCCCGCGGACTAATGGGTCCCAACTTATTTTAGTTGATATCCTGTGAATGAGCATGCGAGGGCTGGCTCAGGAGTTGAAAATTAAGTCAGACTGTTGCCCCTTTTCCCTGGTCTCTGTATAACCCTGATCCTTTACACCGTTGAATGGAAAGTCTCCGAGCAGGAGTGTGGGAAATTTGGAACGTGATCAACGTGTTATCTGATCAATAATTTAGTTTGGAGAATAAAAGATGCTCTTAAAGGATAAGTAATCACGTTTGCTTTTCATTTGCTCACCTCCCCATATGTTTTAGTAATTTTCCCAAACTGGGAATCCCAAACTCTCCAAAAAGATTCCTTCGGTCCCGGATTCAAGGATGCAGAGCTTGAAACACTGCACTGCCAAGTTCCACATCCTCCTCCCAAAATCTCCTATACAGGGGCAGAAATCCCTTCTGATCTCCCGGACTGAGTTTGTCTCAGTGTAAATTATTCTGAAGAATAAAGTTCTCTGCACCTAAAAGCAAGTAAACAAGGAATCCTTCTATGTTCCCATTTCATCTGAGGTTTCGTGAACCAGCCACTTGCATCCACAGTCTGCTTTTCAACTGGAACGGGTGAGACCTTGAGGTCTCAGGTTCTCTCACTGAAACTTTTGGTCAGTCCACTAGGAAGCATGCTTGACTGAAGAGAACTCCTCTGTCTTATGGGTCACCAGTCTGAGACAAACCAGACTCCAGGAGAATGCTAATGTCCTTTGAGATTCTTCATTGCACCGAAAAACACAGTAATCCTCCAAATTAATGATGCATTTTTTGACCTCCCAACTAATCATTTTGACAATAAAAAGAATAATTTAGTAAACTTCTTCATTATAAATGTGAGCACCACAAAGACGAATGCTGTATGTAGGATAACTCAATAGACCAGGGAGCTGTAAAGTCCCATGTTGTTACCAGTAGCAGCTGTACCACTTGAATATATTCATTTAACTTCATCATTCAAACTACACTAGAAAAACCTGTCAAATGGCCAGATGTGAACACCGGCTCCTTTTTACCCACATGCTGTGCTTGAGGTAATAAGCACATACTCCTCCAAAACACTTGTCTGGTGATAGAGAAAATGAATGATGCATTTGAATAGTGAACTGTATGTTAAATGCATGTATAAAAATGTTTTGCATTGACCATAAATATTAATATAGATTATTTTTATTTTGATCCATTGGTGATGATCACCTGTATAATAAATGTTTTATATTAAAATTGCATGTGTCGTTTTCTACCTGAATTGGCCGTTTGAAGTGTAACCCACCTGAGTTTTTATGTCCAGAAGATTGATGCGTGTGACCTCAGCAATATGTCTGCATCAACTAACTGCATGCTTTGTAGAGTGATTAACTCATCAGTGTATGACATTGTGCTGTTTGTTGTGTGTCTGGCCCAATGCAGAGCATGTCTCCCATTCAGGATAAAAGCATGCTGATACATAGCACTAGCAGTGTTGTGCCTACAGGAAGCAGTGCCACAAACATGCCAGTAGAAAGCAGTAACCAAAATGAGGATACGTTTGTAAGTTTTGCTTTATTTTGTGTCATAAAACTTGGTGGTGGGATAAATACCCTTTCACAAGGATATGGCTGAAATATTTATGAATGCAGCCATAAGTTTATTTTCTTCCTGTGCATGCACATTCATGATTTCTTCCTTTCTGCTTTCTCATTTTTTGAAAAAAAGTGCGATTTTGAAGTTAATTTGGAGAAATGTGTTAAAAGAAGCGGTCATTTCAAACACAAGTACAATATATCCTTCATTCGCACTGTGTAACTTCCAATGTGATTCTCTGTGTCATCCACTTTTTGTTTGGACTAAATTGTAGCTCTGCACATTTAGAAGGAAAACACCCAAGGTCTTCATCTGACTAACAAATCATTCGGAAATGTTTAATTACACTTAAACAGTCAATATTTAATGTTAACTATTTTGATTAAAAAATTATCACAATATTTTATATTGATATTACATAGTCTAATAATAATTTATGATAATTGGTGTTTAAAGAAATATATTAAAAATAATAAACTAGAAAAAAATATAAAATATTATTTATTTTACATTAAACAAATATTTTAATATTATTTAGTAATAATCCCTTCAAGAAAAATAATAATTTGGTCACTCAATTTACGACTGTTTGTGAGACATTGCTGGGCGCAATTGGCTGCTGCGCTTCGCCCACAAAATATAGTCAGTATATTTTGTGAAGCGCTTTGAGGTGTCTCGAAGATGCAATGATTATTATTAGTCAATTACACTTGTAATCTCAGCACTTTTAACTGAACTGGGTAATCCCTGTCATAAAATGTTATTTCACAAATACAGCCTTTGACCAAATTTTGAATGTGAGATTTTGCCTTTCAATTTTCGAACTGTAAAAACAAAATGGGGGGTGGGGGGCTTTGTGCCTATGGACTCCTGTCGAAGGACAAAGGATTCAAATGCCTTCAAGAAAAAAGTCAAATTTTAGTGGAAAATATTCAAAGATACCTGACCAGATCAGAAATTGATCCATTCTAAAATAATTTTCATGAAGGCAAAACATTTTTGTTAAAGATTTAAAATTGTAAAGATAATAATAATTCTTGCATTTGATATAGCGCCTTATCACGTCTTCGAGACGTCTCAAAGCACTTCACAGAATATACTGTAAAGTGAATTGACTGTATATTTTGTGGGCGAAACGATGCAGATATTTGAAGTAACATCTTGAGTTATTTACACAGTTGATCTTCATTGATGCTGCGTATGTTTTAAAGGAAACGCCGCGACTGTAAGCAGTATGCCTAAAATGCTGTCTCAACATTAACGGACCACATTTTTAGTCATTAAGGGAGAGATGTTGCCACTTCCTGGGCTGTAGGCCAAAATTGTTCTATTCACAGCAGCAGAGAGATGCTTGGCCTGGTATCATCTCTGGTCAACTTTTAAAGGTGTCAACTCAAGCTGTGTGCATCACACAAATATACTGGAGCATTTTTGAATTAAGAATTCAAATACAAGGATTATATTATAGGAATTCCCGAACAGGCAATGCAGTAGTCTTTTGGAAGTAATGCATGTCCCGTGAAATCTCTCTGAAGCTGTTCTTAAAGTGTGTCTTTTCACTTGAATATCAGAAAATTGACCTCATTTTGTCTGATTCTAGGTACTGGTTGTTGGCACCAGTGAGAATTGATCACTTCCCCCTCGTGCTTGTGTTTTTCCTGCAGGTACACACTGTGGTAACTTTTGCTTCTGTAACCCAACATTTTCATTTTCCCACCATTACTGATTCGGAACTATGAAAACCTTGTGGAATTTTAAAAAAAAACTACTCATGGCTTTAGTCGAACACTGACCTGTATATCGGAGCAATCGATAATTGAATGATTAAAAACCTTGTAAAATAATTCATTGATTTAAAGCTGGGGTTTTCACTGTGGCTGAGACAAATCCAAAGTAACTGAATAGAGTCTGCTGGGTAGGTTGGAAGCACCTTCAATCTTCGAAGAAACACTATTGCAGACATTTGGGATGATCAATCAGGTCCAATTCAGATTTTGGATAGCAAATATGACGCATCCCAAGGATGCAAGTCAAATGGTGGTACTTGATATTTGTAACTGGCTTTCAGGCCATGTGCTGCTTCAAGTGGATGAAACGCTGTAATAAAAGTGTTCTGACCTTTCCTTAAAGGGATGCAAACATTACCTCATTGAGGCTTCATAACCCTCCCTTGATTACATAGAACTATGCAGAATGATACTGCATGGCTACAGGCTGTTCAGTCCAGCAAGCCTGTGATGGTGTTTATACTCACGTGGCTTCTCTCCCCTCCTATTCCCATTACCTGTACGCTTGTACACCCTTCTCCTTGTCACGGAACTTCTGTTGTTCTGCTGGCCAAAGGTTGACTCTCTTCCCCCCCTCCCCCCACCCTGCCCCGTCCCCAACCCCCAAACAAAATCCAGTATTCAGGTTGATGCAATGTACAAATTACATAATAAAACAGAATTGGCCTAATTTGGTTTGATTTGGGGTTTGGATTTTGGTAGATGCTCATCCCTGACATCCCCAGTTCTCTATGAGCGAGCTGGTGGTACCAGGCTTGTAAATTCTTAGGATGGTATGTAACCAGGTATCACCTTGTATATCTCCTTGTAACCAGGAAAGATACATCTGTTAAATGTGACAAGTTGCTTATGGTATGAAGTGTGAACAATGAATTATTCCATAGGCTTTTTCTCAGCTATTTCTCGGCTATTCTCAGCTGACTTATCTAAATAACTTGAGCAAAACTAGAATATGATTACCATGTTTTACATGCTGATTACATCAGAACTTTCTCCCTTTTGCAATGGATCATTTTATCAGATTTATTTCTTTGTGAACTGAAATTGAGGTTTAAATGATTCATCAGGGTTGGAATTCTAGATGATATTAGTATTAAAATCAGAAAACTGAGATCGACAGATTTTTAAAAACTAAAGGGATTAAGGGATATGGGAATGGGGCAGTAAATGGAATTAGGTTAGAAGATCAGCCCTGATCTTATTAAATGGCGGGGCAGGCTCGAGGGGCCGAATGGCCTACTCCTCTTATTTCTTATGTTCCTATGTAAAATTAGTTTCAAATAAAAGCCTGGGATCTTTGAGCTGAGATTGATATTGTTTTAGTAGGGTTTGATCCTTAAAAATAAAACCTCAAACTTATTGCATTGAATTTATTAATGTAAAAGCACCATCAATGTTCAATCAGCAACCCCCTGCTTTATACTCTGAAATCAATTGGCATTTTTCAAAATAAAATTCAGCAGTGTCAAGAGAATAAGCATCACTTCCTGCACAGTAAGTGAAAGAAGTGCCAAAGAGGTCACTTGCTATGTGACGTTTCGAATTCTAGATGACGGCAGCATTCATTTCCTGTGCATTGTGGACATGGTGTAGTTTGCAGGAAATGATGATCCACAAAGCTTTCTGCACAACATGGAGGAAATGATAGCAACCTGATGACCTGGAAGGGGGATTTTTTTAGCATTGGATGCCTGGTAAAACTGTAGACTGGTGCTGTAAGTGAATCAGTGCTCAGCCAGGTGGTTCTATAATTTTCTACTCTGATATCTAAGATTAGTGTCAACAGATGAAAGAGTTATTAACCTTGATGAATTATTTACCTCTCACATTTGTTTTTACAGGTAGAGAAGCATGTTTGTGAAACTTATTGTTCACGGTACTCAATGAAATAGGGGGCGGGGGATTGCAAAATCATGTTTATAGCTACTAATGTCAGGACACATGACATCCAATCCTGTTATTAAAAAAGTCAAATTTATTTGGAAGTTCCCCAATGCTGTGCAATAGCACCACTGACCCTCATAATTTAGTTAAACATACTCTTGAAAATTCTTCAAGGTAATCTTGCATGAAACTGAGATTCATGGTTACAGGAATGAAGCTGTACCAAAATAACTTTTGATAACTTAAAAAAAAGTCCATTTTGCAGTTTGAAGCATTTATATCACTTTTCTTTCAGCTGATAAAATTGATGAATTGAAGATCAGCCAACCAGATCTGTGCTCAGAACATTCTTTAAACAGCAGGAGTCTAGGGAAAAATTCCCCAACTGAGAATTTGGTTGAATTATGAGCAGGCGATCAGATTAAATCTATTATTATCTTAACCAGAGGAATCCTGCAATTTATTTAAATAAGATGACCAGAGCATTGTAACATTCTAATATACTTCTTTACCATCTTACCAGTCTAGGTGTCACTGCAATTTGCAAGATGCTCTCTGAATGTGGCGAAGTGCGGTTTTGTGATTGTGTAAATGTATGTGTGCTTGCTGCAGGACTCCGAAGAAGAGGATTTTGAAGTCGAGAGCATCAACAAGAAAATCAGTGGTTCCCAAGGTTTTCACAATTTGCAACCTTACATTCCTGAAGATTTTGCAGACTTTGAAGTGTACAATGCTAGCCTAGAGAACAGGGATATGTTTTCCTCCAAACCAGAATTCTTGAGCTCTCGCCTCCTTGAAAACGAGGTCTCTCGCAGTCCAACTACCAGCAGTATGACCAGTGGCTACTTCTCCCACAGTGCCTCCAATGCAACCCTCTCTGACGCAGTGTTCACTGGCAGTGAAAGCACTGACCAGCTGGCCAGCCAGGTGAGAGACCCTGAGCTACATGACACAATGTCGCGGGCCAGCATATCCCATTTGAAATCACCTTCTGAGAAAGAAGAGGAAATTGAGGGGCAAAGCAGCGACTTGAAGAAAGACTCACACAGAAAAATACCGCTCCCCAAAAATTGTGCCTTTGTGAATGAAACCTCAGTATTGCAGCAGTTTATTGAGTCAAAGTCAATACTGGTCTATAGATCCATATCAGATGTGTGCGCATCGGAGACTTTGACCTGCACAAATCCATTATCACAGGATGCTATGTCAGACGATACAGGAGAAGATCATTCTTTCAGCTCAGTAGTGAATGTAGGAATGTTTAACAGCCAGGATTTCACAGATTTTCAGGGGGTTGAGGAAACCAAGCAGGACCTGGAGCCTGCTGACGAAGCCATGGTCTACAGCACAGGTTCATCCTCTGACTCCAACCGCCTTTCTGTAGATAGTCTGGAAATGGATGAGAAGTGGCAGAGTACTCCAGTGGGATGTGCTAATGACCTTTCCAGACTACCCGAGGAGCCGTGCAGTGTTGTATGTGACCAGTCGCAAACGGCAGTGCTCGATAACAGGTTAGCACATACCCTGGGTAGCCCACAGTACTGTGAGGAAGCTGACCACGAAGAAGCCTTGGATAACTCTCCAAGCCCAAATAACCCTGTTGCAAAGAGCCATTCAGATTCCTCAGATTTTGAGGACAGTGCCTCGGGAGAGCAGGGTGAGCCTATACCAAGCTGGGTCACACCGGGAGAGCTCGTGTCTATTGGAAACAAGATTGGAACCATTCGATATGTTGGTGCGGTGGATTTCTCTGCTGGGATCTGGATTGGGGTGGAACTTGAAACTCCAGCAGGTGAGTGACATTGCATGACACGTGTGGTTGGGAAGGAGGGAGGATGGAGGTTGCAAATATTTGATTCCATTATAAATATAAACCAGATACTTGTGAATTATGGAAAGTTAATTTATAATATTCCTTACTTCTGATATCGCGTCTTATCACACTCTTGAGACATCTCAAAATGCTTCACAGATTGACTATAAAGTGGAGTGACTGCTATTTGTAAGCAACTGCGGCAGTCAATTTGTGCGCAGTAATGACCAACAAAAGCCATGAAATGAGTGACCGATTTTATCTGGCACATCATTTGCCTGGCCATCAGGAGAAACTTGCCAACTTTGCCAACTTGTACAATGTTATTGTGCTCATAAGTTATTAATTTCTTCAACAAAAGTATGTTTTCTTTTTAATTCAATCTGTATAATTTTAGATAACATGTCAAGCTTCTGATGAATTTGATTTATTTTTTAATGCTTATTTTTAAGTAGCTTACAGTAATGCTTTTTGTTCAGACATGTTAAGCCAGACAATTTTTTAATATGTTAATTCTAACCACAAGAGATTATTGTCGGAGCCTTTGTCCCTAATAAGGCTGTCTTTAGGAGTCAGCCATGGAACAAGTATCAGTCTCTGCTGTTCTTGCTCTGTAGACTTGCGAGTATTCAGTGAATTTTCCCCCCTTTCCTCAACACTACATGTGAAAGGTGAACATGTGACCTCTCATGAGCTGTCAATGCTGCTCTGTATCCCAGTGGGCATATCGTGAGTTGAGCGGCTCTCAATCTTTACTCCACACCTCGGGTGCTGACAGCATCACCATCCAAGGATACTCCACCTTACTGAGCCAGTTCAGAACCTTGGCATCTTGTTTGACCCTCAACTATCCTTTCTACCCCACATCTGTCCCATGTCCGCTCGGCCTTCCCCCACCTCCGTAACATCCTCCAGTTCCGCCACTACCTCACACAGCAGGTCACCGAGACTCTCATACACGCATTCATAACATCCAAGCTTGACTACGCAAACTCCCTGCTTGTTGGCTTCCCCAACTCCTCCCTCCATGGGCTACAGATCACCAAAACTCTGCAGCCCGTGTCCTCTCTCGAACCAGGCTCCGTGGCCCCATCCTCGCCAGACTCCACTCGATTCCCATCACACACAGGATACAGTTCAAGATCCTGGTCTTCACCTTCAAAGCCCTCCATGGTCTTGTCCTACCTTTACGACCTTCTAATCCCCTACCAACATGCCCTCTCCCTCCGCTCAGCGGGCTCCATCCTGCTTAACGTCCCCCACCTTACCATCCCACCATCGACAGGTGGGCCTTCTGCCAATCTGCCCCAACCCTCTGGAACTCCATCTCTCTGCCTCACCCCCTCACTTGCCTCTTTCAAGACCCATCTCAAGATCCTTCTCTTTGATCGTGCCTTTGGTCACCCTCCTTTCCCCACTGCTCTCCACCCTCCCTGATTCCGACCCCCAGCTCGGGTCCAAAACGATGATTGTCCAGCACCTTGGGATGTCTTCCCAATGTGAAAGGCGCTATACAAATGTAATTTTGTTGTTGTTGTTGTTGTCCCCTTTCTCCTTGTGTAGGAACCACCTGCTCACTGCTGCGCTCTGGAGCGTATTGAGATATCCATCTTGCTCTGTGGGAAATATAGGTTTAGAGAGTCTTGTGCACGTTAGAACATGCTATGTCACTGTCAGTATCAGCACTTATTGATATATCCAAGTGTTTTAACTTAGTCTAAATGTTCTACCGGCTAGCTCTGCTCCTGACACTGGATCTTAAATATAGTGCTCCTTATTGTAATTGTTGAGCACTTGCGTGTTCATTCTGTGTGAATGGTGCTATACAAGTCCAAGTTATGTTCACTACAGGATTTGTAAGCATTGGTTGAGTTCGCATCAACGCAGCCTATAAAACTTTGCTCCAGGGCTCCTGGAAGGAGATCAGAGTGAAGTTCCAACAGTCCTCATACTGCATATCTGGGTAACTGAAGGATTCAATTCTTTGGGAATCTTAAGCATGGTGACCAGTTTTTGCATTTTTGTCAGACCCAAAAAGGTAAACTGGTGTGTTTCAAATATAATTCACAGTTCATTTAATGCACACAACATTTAATTCACAAGGCACCAATGGATAACATTTTTGAGATGTTTGACATTGCGCTAGGACTTGATCTTTTTATTCACTCCACTCCTCAAAGGCACAAATGTTTCCATTGTCAACTTTGTAACAAACTATGCGTGAATTCCTTGTTGTGTAAAATTTTCAATGTTCTACAATGAGGTGTTGGATTAACAATTGGAAAAGGGCGAAAAAAGACCATTGATCGAAAGAATTGAGCGAGATTGTACTTTCAAGTAATCATCATACATATATGTCTTCTCATTCTCACACTTGAAGTTTAACATGTGTTTAAGTGATAATTTAAACCCCACGCTTTCCCGTTTTATGCAGGGAAGCATCAGGGCACCATTCAAGGGAAAGAATACTTCCAATGTAGTCCAGATTACGGGATCTTTGTACGTCCAAACCGACTCGTCAGAGTCAACACAGTAAAGCAGCGTAATAGCACTTCTCAAGGTCAGAGTTCCACCAACCATGAGAAGCGGAAAAGTGCCAGCCCTCCCAGACCCCAGACCACCTCATCCATGAAACCAGAAGGAGCAGTGCTTCATCAGTCTGGAGATACAGCAACTTCCAGGAAACCGAATAACAGAAAGTCCTGGATTAACTGAGTTCCAACGTTTGCACTTAATACACATCACTGTATAGAACTTTAGTGGAGTGTTTTATAGAATGTACATTGCTTTTTTAAAAATATATATTATATATTACTGATTGTGTGATATAGAAAATAGCCTAAATTCTTTCAATTTTACGTTATTTTAAAAAGGATATCTGTTGATAACATCTTAAAAGCACACAGAAACTTGGCGAAGTAAATGTTCCCAAGACTTCTGTTAATACAGCATCAGCTTCTAATATTACAAAGTAATATTTGAGGTGTATTTTAATCAGGAAATAGATACTTTATTAATACAAACACAACTGGGATGGAAATCACAACATGAAAATCTGTAAATTTGTTCTCAATTACCAAAGATCTTGATTAGTTTCAAAAAATTTTTTGCGTTGTTTGCCCATTTTAAAATTGTGTTCCAACTTGTAGATATGTTTTTAGTAACCTGTGCCATGTTGAGGGGGGTGTTCCTCTGTATTATGCTGCCTTATTTTTGTGCCCAATGAGCGCACTGAAGCAAAACTGACCTTTTCTATTCAGCTTTGTCTTCCAAAGCTTGCCACTGTGCTGACTTGGCATTGCAGTATAAATTGGTGTACATTCAATCGACATGTTGAACTCAATGCCTGAGACTTTGTATGTTGCAGGTCTGAACGTTAATGCTCTGATTTGCCTGTTCGGCAGTTTATTGCTAAAACAGTATTACTGCAGGAATGCAGGGGGTAGACTGCAGATTTGTTGCAAAGGTTTACGAAAAGCTGTGTATGCATGCATGCGTTTGCTGATGGAAGCAAAGTGATGGTACATTTGGCAACAATATTGTATATAATGGGAGATCTTGTTGGATGATTGGTTAAATAATTTATACATAGATTATATATAATGACTTGAGGGATTTTCTGCATTCCTGTGCAGTAAAAGATGTAATCCAATGGACTAAACACTGTTTCAAGAAGCCATCCAGTGTACATAGAGTTGTGCAAAATTGTTGGTACGTAAGAGGCGGTCTGTGAAAAGAACTGTCCGACTGTCAGTTTTAATAATGAAAAACTTGGGACTTGCTCAAGAGCTGCTGTTCTTCTGAATTAGTTTTGTATAAATATTTTCCTCCTTTAGTTTTTTTTGTATTACTGTGTACAGTTGTAATTTATATTTTATTTCAGCAATACTGTATTTAATTGGTACAGAATTTCAGTGTTTTAGAATACAAACTGTACTTCAGCTTGGAAATGGCCTCAGCCACACATGTGTCTGTTTCTTCATTGTTCTGAAGTGTAGAAGTGGAGGAACAGATTCTGCTTTTTCCTTCAAAATACCACATGATCCCCATTGGCTCCTTCTGTGTACAGCAGGCTGATGGGAAGTTTCTAAGTAGTTTAAAAATGTCTACAACAATTTTCAATGTGTAAAATGTAATGATCGGAATCATATTTTTGCAGAAGTGATTATACCCTTCATACATGGAAATCAGAAGCAAGAATAGAATTGTCCCATCTTGTTGTCAAATCATTTAGAAGACTTTTCATGTTCAAATAATGCAGACTGTCCACAAAAAGGTCGGTTATCTATCCTTTACTGATGCCATATTGCAATGGTTCCATTTGCTAGCAGTTCCCTAATTGTAGAATTGTAACAGAAAAACAGGACATTTGGTACATCAGGTCTGAGCTGGTGTTTTTTGCACCACATGAGACAGCTAATCTAATCCTGTTTACTTTGGTACGTTTCAGTTTTATTTCATTTCCCTTTAAAGGATCTTTGGATTCTGCTTCAATAATGGTTTGTGATGGAACATTCCACATTTCCTACTGTGTGGCCTTCCTTGAAGTTATATTGGTATCATTTCCTACAATGGTGCTTCGGTACTCAAATTGCATCCTTCAATAACCAAGATGTCAACTAGAGGAAGCATGATGATGAGATGCTTTTCTGAAGAGATAATGAGTTTTTGGTAGGGTGAGACAGTCTTGACAACTGGACCAAATAGGATTGAATTTCAAAGCATGAAAAATCTTAATTAAGTCACTTGCATTATAACATGATTTCTATGGAAATAATTATTTAAGGGATGTCCCGCAGTAGTATCTGTCTTACATTGATTTCTTTCTTACCCATGGTTTGTAGGGAAACAATTAAACAAAAATTGTGCTGAAATTGCAACTCCTTCTCAAAAATGCTGTGTGCAATTGGCTGCCACATGTCGCCCACAAATATACAGTCAATTCACTTTACAGTATAAAATTCACAGTATATTCTGTGAAGCGCTTTGAGATGTCTAGAAGACGTGAAAAGCGCTACATCAAATGCAAGGATTATTATAAATGTCAGTGAATACATTATTAGTAAAAATTTATAGAGACTGAGCCATTTTTACATGAAAGGAGGCCATGTGGTCCATTGTCTATGTGCCAACAGGTTCTAACAGGAGAAAACTAATGATCTACTGAGCAGAGCTGCTCTATTAGCCCAAGTAAGCAGAGTACAACCCCCTACTATCATGCTGCAGTTCCACAGGAGCTAGCAGCTCTTCATTACCTACCCTGCGTGCTCATTCTTCATGTATAAAGCTAGGTGGTCAATCATTGGGCCGAAAGGATAACTTGGCCATGCATCATAACTGAACTTAGTTTTGTCCTTAACAAATGGTTTTATGTGTATGCGCACACACACACATTTCGCAGCAGGATCACTCAAAGTTTTGATTTAGCCAATTTTCTCATCATCTGAAGGTGTTGACTTCTTGCTGGCATTTGATTCAATGAGCACTGACCACAACAACAAAATTGAATTTGTACAGTGCCTTTCACATTGGGAAGATGTCCCAAGGCGCTGGACAGTCAGAGTTTCAGACCTGAGCTGGGATCAGGGAGGGTAGATGGTGGGGGGGAAAAGCAGGGAGATCGAAAGCACGGTCGAAGAGGAGGGTCTTGAGATGGGTCTTGAAGGAGGCAAGGGAGGGGGTGAGGTGGAGGGACTGGGTGATAGAGTTCCAGAAGGTGGGGGCAGAGTGGCAGAAGGCCTGCCCGCTGATACTGGGACTACCACCCCATGGTACGCCACCCAAACAGCCAATCATGTGTGAGCCACGATTGTGGGCATTGGTAGGCAATTCCGCCAATGGAAAGCAACATAACCAAGCTCACCAAACATCCACATAAGTACATGTTCCTGCAGGATTGATCAAGATTAATCAGAAGCTTGGCTAAGTTTCCCCTCCTTAACCCAATGCTGTTGAAATCAACTGATGCACCTCATCACCAGTCTGGTTGGAATCAACTTACTCAACAGAAATGAGGGATTCTCCTGGGCTCAATCCTACCAGCTCATGAAAATACCCAATGAGACTCCAAGTGAGCCTAAGGTAAGTTGTACTTTGAAATCAGCTTCCAGAATCCATATGTACTTAACATTTTCAAAACTGTAGGAAATGTGTTCCAGCATCTCATTTGCAGCACTGAAGCAGTATTTCTGCTTAAAAAGTTATCTTTAACCATTGTTACGTTTGTCATTTTGATTCCATACTCCTATTTCAGCAGCACTAGAGTTATTAACCTACAAAAGCTTAAACTGGCAAGGCATCAAAACAAACAACCTGCTGTATTTTGGGAAATACAATGCTTGGTAAATTAATGTTTATGAACTAATAGAAGTGCTGTAGTTTGATGAAATATTTTTGCTTTTTAGCTTTGTACAAAATTGTACGAGTCAATGTGACTACTTATGGGTACCCAGGAGGGTTCTTTTTACATTTTTATGCTGTTTGTATTTTTTGTGAATGGCTGCAGTTAGCCATTTAATCTGCGTGCTTAAAAATGAAATGGAGTACACATTCTCCCTCCCTGGCTTCCAAACAAAGGCAGAATTTTCTAACATTCTGCATCTTCTTAAATTGTAACATTGTGCCATCAAAGCTAAGACCATGAGAAATATTAGTACTTTGGTATGTAAATATTTTTATATCTGACTCCAGCCAAAGCCACTCTTAAATCTAATGATGTTTGGTGGTTCTCGATTGTTCTCAAAAGTGAATTGGGAAAATGAGGCAAATAGACATATAACAAAAGCAGTGATAGAAAGTTACAAAGACTGAGAGATAGACAAAAATTGAATAAGGGAGAAGACACCAAAAGACAGTGTCGAAAGAGGCACAGTAAGACAAGGGAAAATTGGATATGGGGAGACAGGTTAGGAAAGCAGGAATCTGAGGCAGCAAGTCAAAAAGAAATAGAGAAAAGTATAAAGAGAAAAATATACACAAAGAATGGAGAGGAAGGATAAAGAAAAATAGAAAAGGAAGGACAGAAAATGAAAAGATATAGGGAGAGAATCCGATAACAGCTGGCATCCCACAGGCACCCCTGAACGAAAATTTATGAGTCACAGATGACTGAGCTTGCAAAAGGAAGTCACATCAAAAGGATGTGTCATCTTTTGCCTGAGAAATAATGTCCAAGGATTAGTCTAAAATTGATTTTTTCAATCTTGGAACCAAGATGAGCTTGTCATAAGATCAGAGTGAAAGTAAATGAATATTTTGGCAGAACCCTATTAATATTAATAATCTTTGCATTTGCCATATCATGTCATTGAAATATCTCAAAGCATTTTAAACATTTTGCTGTGAAGTGTCACTGTATTTTATAGATGAATGCACAGCCAACTTGTGCACAGCAATGTCCTATAAACAGCCATGACGAAAATGACCAATTGTATCAGGGGGATAGCAACAGAAGTCGCTGGGAAAACCCAGCAGGTCAGGCAACATCAATGGACGGAGGAAATAACTTAATGTTTCAGGTCGATGACCTTTCGCCAGAACAACATCACCACCAAAATTACATTTGTAAAGCCCCTTTCATATCGGGAGGACGTCCCAAGGCGCTGGACAGGCCGAGTTACGGTTCACTATCAGAGTTACAGAGAATGGTTCTGACTAGGGGATATATTTGGATCCTGTTGGGTGTTATATCTATCTGTATATACTAATAAAGACGAAATGCTCGTCTGTGTGTGTATGTCTGTCCGCCAAGAATGCAATAACCGATTGACGTAGAGAAATGATTTATACCTCATCGGAAAGGCCTTGTGTTGGGGAGTATCATGGGTATACTTTGTTTTGGGGATCTATTGTTCATGAGCTATATTTAAAAAATGCTTTAATTAAGCCCCAAAATATAAGGTATGCATTGTATTCTGCACCAAAGTAGCGACAGGAAATCACACACACTTCTAGAGAGATACACTTATACTAATATATTCTGCAACAAAGTAGCACAGAGAAAAGCTATGACCTAAACAAGCTCATCATACATGTATGCACTCCCAACAAGGTGACCTACCAACAGGAGTCCTCCCAACTAGGAGTTCTCCCACAGGAGTCCTCCCAGCTGAGTATAGATCAAGACTAAATGTGTGTGTATCATTCTACATTGGATCCTTTGGTTGCAAGCAAAGCTGCAACGGTAACAGCTAGTACTAGAACAAAACAATAAGTAACATTAAGTAAAATTTTGCATATTTTGTTCATGTTTAATTTAAAATTTTTGTCTAATACTATTAAATCAGGAATAGGTTTGTGTTGCATTGGGTGCACCTGGGAAAGCTGAGTTAGAATTCAAGAAGGATGTACTGTATATACCATTTAGATATGTTATATGTCGTATTTAGTTTTCCAGTTGTGCTGCTATCCGAATCTGAATTGGTGCCAAGAAATAAAAGTATCCATTTTACCACATCTACAAGGTATTTTTAAAACGTTGGGTTGTGCTAGAAAGTTGCAAGTAACTTGATGTAATTTGTGACAGGCTTGATAAAGAGTAAAGTTCTGACTTGGTAACAATTTGAATAAATTGTATTAGTAGATTAACAGGAATTTCCTTGTGTCAGCATTGCACATGCAGAACGCATGTTTTCCCTTTTAAAATACAGCAACAACAGTGGGACAAATAAATAATAATAAAAATAATCTTTGCTTTTGATATAACACCTTATCATGTCTTTGGACGTACAAAGCACTTCACAGAATATACTGCAAAGTGACTTGATTGCATATTTTGTGGGCAAAATTTCATGCAACATGTGCTTTTTTCTCCAACAAAACTATAAAAGCAAAGAGCGCTCGTTGAGGATTTATACATATCCATCTCTGGATGCTTTCCAGGCCATGAATGCCTTTAGGGTGTTTGGGCCTACAGAAAAGTGCAGAAATATTTGCCAAAAATTGTGGGGAGTCATTTAAATATTGCGGGGGTGCGGAAAATTGTGGTGGTTGCTTGGTGCTATTGAGGTACATTTTTTCACTTTATTAATTAAAAACTAAACATGAGGAAATAACACATTGTTGCAATTTTTTAAAATATATTTATTCATTAACAAAAACTGGGTGGCCCATTGGGGGTGGGGGGAACACACAAGTGCACGACCAAAGGGCCTGGAGATGTACCAAAAAAAACACTGAGGGCTAGTGTCCTGACTGTGGTGCTACAGGAGCTCAGCATCTCCTGCCTCTCAAAGCCCAGCACCGCACATAGACCAGAGAGACACATATTCTCGGAGATACACATGCACATACACACGGAAACTCACACACACATATAAAAGAGGCACACAGACACACCCAAACACAAATACAGAGGAGAGAGACACACACACAGACACACTCACAAACATACATATATAGAGGAAAGACACTCAAAAACACAGAAACACAGACACACTCATAAACACGTACAAAGAGACACGCTCACTCACAGACACTCAAACACAGAAACAGACTCACTCAAAGACACTCACAAACACAGACTCACTCACAGACTCACAAATACAGATACACTCGCTCAGACACAAACACAGAGACACACTCGCTCACAGACAGAGACACACTCGCTCACAGACAGAGACACACTCGCTCACAGACAGAGACACACTCGCTCACAGACACAAACACCGAGACACACTCGCTCACAGACAGAGACACACTCGCTCACAGACAGAGACACACTCGCTCACAGACAGAGACACACTCGCTCACAGACAGAGACACACTCGCTCACAGACACAAACACCGAGACACACTCGCTCACAGACAGAGACACACTCGCTCACAGACACAAACACCGAGACACACTCGCTCAGACACAAACAGAGACACACTCGCTCACAAACAGAGACACACTCGCTCACAGACACAAACAGAGACACACTCGCTCACAGACACAAACAGAGACACACTCGCTCACAAACAGAGACATACTCACTCAGACACTCAGAGACATACTCATGTACTCACTCAAGACACATACACACAGAGATCCCCCACACACAGAGACTCCCCCTACACAGACACACCCCACACACAGACACACTCCACCCCCCCCCACACACTCAGACATCCCCACACACCCCCCCACACAGAGACACCCCACACACACAGACCCCCCCCACACACTCACAGACACACACACAGAGACCCCCCCACACACACACCTCCCCACACACAAAACCCTACACAGAGACCCCCCCCACGCACAGACCCCCCACACACTCACAGACATCCCCACACACAGAGACACCCCACACACTCACAGACATCCCCACACAGAGACACCCCACACACATCCCCACACACAGAGACCCCCCCACACACACAGAGACCCCCCCACACACTCACAGACACACACACAGAGACCCCCCCACACATACCCACACACACAGACACCCCCCACAGACTCTCCGACTGAAGCCCATTTCCCGCTTGCCCCGCACCGCGCATGCGCACTCGGAGCCGCTCCGCGCACAGTGACGTCGGGTAAGCAGCGAGCGGCCCGCGGGCCAGAACCACGTGTTGTTTTTTCCGCGGGTTGATGGCGGAGGCCCTGTTTGTAGCGCATTCCCCGGGGGTGGGGGCGGAGGAAATGCACTTTTCTATTGGCCCATCCCATCAGCCATCACATGATCGATCACCAGCGGAATTTTCAAACAAATCCGCAGCTGTTTATCACATTACACCGCGCACATAGCGCTCAAAAACTGAAAAGAAATTGGCATCGGATTCTAAGTATATTTTGGTCGCCTTCCCCCCCCCTCCCCCCGGGGCTCGGTCCCGGGATCCTGAACCGTAAAGCGCTCTGAGACGCCGTCCGGCGTGGAGGGCGCCGTGTAAATCCAAGTTGTTGTCGTGACGACCAGGTCCGTTTGTTCAAAACGTGGAAATAAAAAAAAAACCTGCGTTATTCGCGACTCCGGGTGTTTGAATGGACTGCATACAAAAAGTTAGACGCCTGCGTTTTAAAACAAAAACGTGGGTATGTGTGTGTGTGTATTTGTGTCTTTGTGTCGGGGGGTGAGGGCGGGGGAGAGAAGAGGGGGAAATGGCGCACTGTCGAAGCTAAGCTGAGCTACTCCCCCCCCCCGGAGCTCGAGTCCGGTTCCCCTGGCAACCCCGGGAGCGAGCACGAGAGAGAAAGGGCCGCACAGGCGCACTCGCTCGTTCATTCACTCACTCACAAGGGGGTGAGGGGGGGGATAACCTTCATCTCCCTTGATGCGTTGCGGCTCGTTTGTCTGGTCGAGCCAATGGGATCGAGGCGGGGCGGTGACGTCTGCACGGAGTAGTGTGTGTGTGTGTGCGTGTGTGTCCGCGCGCGCGTGCGCTGTACTAGTCTCGTGCTTCAGAGACAGACAGAGAGAGAGAGAGATAGCGCGCGCGCGGGCGGGCGCGTGGACAGTGATATCGCGGGCGCTGGGGCTGTCGTGGTGGTCGGACGAACCAAGTAGCGCTCGGGGAGCCTGAGCGGCGACTGCGCTGGGCGGGCGGGTGGGTGGCGCACGCACGCACGCGACGCACCCATCCATCCCTCCCTCCATGCAGCAGGGCTGAACCAGCGGCGTGGAGAGCGCGTGCGCGGGACGGAGGCTGGCGAGAGGCCGAGCAGTGCGCGCGCGCGAAGAACGACGGCACCGTGGAGAGGGGAGGGTTGAGGGCGTTGGTGCTGGAGGCGAGGGCGCGAGGGACCGGAGAGCGCCTGCGCGGGGGCTCGGGGCCGGAGGCGAGGGCGGGAGGGACAGGAGAGCGCCTGCGCGGGGGGTCGGGGCCGGTGGCGAGGGCGGGAGGGACCGGCGTGCGCCTGCGCGGGGGGTCGGCGCTGGCGGGGAGGGCGGGCGACTGGGAGAGCGGCAGCGACGGGGCTGGTGCTGGAGGGAGAACAGGAGAGCGCGTGCGCGGGGCGGTGGGGGAGGGGAGCCCCGAGGAGCCGGCTGCTAGGAGATAGCGCGCGGCCGGCGGCGGGGACGAGCCAGAGCGAGACATGGCGTCGGCAGGAGGAGGAGGAGGAGGCAGTGGCGGCGGCGACGGCGGCGGCAAGATCCGAAACAGGAGGCACCACATCGTGAGCAAACCGTACGCCAAGAAACAGGTGAGGGGCGACGAATACAAAATCAGACGTTACGAGACGCCGGGGGCTGATAGCGGCGCTGGTGGCGGCGGTGGCGGTGGTGGAGGCCGCGACTGGACCCGAGGTGCTGTTTCCGATGGCCAGGCCGGTGCGTGTGTCGGTGGAGCCTCGGCCTGGCTTTCGCCGACGCTGCCTTCCTCCCGAGCGACAGATTGTGTCGGGGCGGGTGGAGGGAGGCCTACCCGAGGGCAGGGAAAGAGCCGGAGCCGTGAGTGAGTTGCACCTCTCCCCCCCCCCCACACACACACACACACAGCGCATTTTATTTGCTCGATAGCGGGTTCTTGTTGCAAGGCCGCAGCTTTCGGCGGGTCCTGGTAACGTTTATTTAGTGGCGGTAAATTTGCTCCCATTTTTTTTTCCTTCCCCCCCCGCCTCCCCCCCGCCATGGCCCCCGCTCCCCCCCGCCATGGCCCCCGCTCCCCCCCGCCATGGCCCCCGCTCCCCCCCGCCATGGCCCCCGCTCCCCCCCGCCATGGCCCCCGCTCCCCCCCGCCATGGCCCCCGCTCCCCCCCGCCATGGCCCCCGCTCCCCCCCGCCATGGCCCCCGCTCCCCCCCGCCATGGCCCCCGCTCCCCCCCGCCATGGCCCCCGCTCCCCCCCGCCATGGCCCCCGCTCCCCCCCGCCATGGCCCCCGCTCCCCCCCGCCATGGCCCCGCTCCCCCCCGCCATGGCCCCCGCTCCCCCCCGCCATGGCCCCCGCTCCCCCCCCGCCATGGCCCCCACTCCCCCCCCCCCCCCCGCCATGGCCCCCGCTCCCCCCCGCCATGGCCCCCGCTCCCCCCCGCCATGGCCCCCGCTCCCGCCCCTCTTCCTGTGACTGCCCGCATTGGGGCCCTGTCCAGGGCGAATCACCGTATCCAGTCCTTCACAACGTGCTGCCCAATATGGGGGTGGCGGGCGGGCGGGCGGCCGATCAACCGGTCTCCGCCTCTTCCTTGTCAGGGCCTCCGCCCTCCCTCCCCCCCCACACCCACCTTTTTCTCGGATATATCTCCTTTTTTTTTGGATCCTTTTTTTTAAAAAAAAACCCTCGCAGCGTTGCGCATTTAATCCGTTCCCAGGTTTTATTCCCCCCCCCCCCCCCCCTCCCCCGCATCCCATCCCATCCCATCGATTTTGCTCATCCACGCGTCTCCTCGCGATCCTCGTGGACCAGGAATTGTAGGAGCAAATGTGTCGCCCGGTTTAATGTTTTAACCCTTGATTTTTTGATGCACGAATGAAGTCAGATTATTTTCAACCGGCGGCACTGTGCCGTGTACAGATCTCCTGCCGCCGATGGGGTTTTTTTTCTCTCTCTCTTGATTTCTAACATGACGTTGTATAATTTTGTCGATCGCGGTGTTGTGATTAATAGGTTTTGTGGTGTAGTTTGTTTCTAAACCGTTAGTTAAACGTAGGAAAGCTTTTAAAAGGCATTTAGCCATTTTGCTGATGAGTCATGATATTTTGAAGGTTAGCCTAGATTTGCCTTTTCAGTGAATTTAAAATGTCCATCTGAATTGTGTTATAACTGTGGTTTCAGCTTACTTTTATTGAGAGGTACATGATTATGCCTTCCCCTTTTTTTTTCTGAAAAAAAATTTGCTCATGTGCTGCTTGTGATGTCAGGCTTTATCATCAGTGATGTTTGTCTGATAACAAATGCTGGGGGTGTGGTTGAGATTTACAAGCGATGGCGAAGACTTTAAAGAAAATTTAGAATAGTTAAAAAAAATTCCTGGATCGTGGTGTTCTTGTTTTGAATGGTACGAATCGCCAGGATCCCACGACAGATTGATCAAAAATGTATAGTTCGGTTGGCTTTGCCATATGATCCTGGGGCTGGTCGAACTTCCATATTCCCTATTCTTATCCTGCTCCCCCATCTGATAATAATAAATAATAATCCTTGCATTTGATATAGCGCCTTATCACGTCATTGGGGTGTCTCAAAGCTCTTCACAGAATATACCGTGCAGTATAGTGACTATATTATACGCAGAACTAAACCTCCCATGAAGACCCATTTAGTTTGGAAACGAGCTTTGCTGTTATTGTCAACAATAACCCTGAGCAAAACTTAATCTGTAAACCATATTAACAGCTTTTATTAACCTGAACTTTTTGGTAGCTTAAAATACGCAAGATGCTGCTTCACCTCAGCTCAGATATTTTATATATTCAAAATAAAATCAGAGCAGAATTTTAAGGAATCTCAGTATAAGGTACTTCTTAACAAAAGAAAGTATATATTTGTTGCATCGTGAAATGCATGTGGTTGTTGTCTATACATGGCAAAGCCTAAGAGTGAGGAATTTTTCTTCCATCATTATTGAGGGATGTTAGACAACATAATGCCCAGCATATTTGGGAGCTATCATGTTGAACAGTGAGTACTTTGATTGTAGGCTATGCTTACTTTTTCAGAGTTTTTTTCTGTTTGTATTTTGTCTTCACGTTCCCAGCTACCACTGTGGGCCTCTTTACTTCTGTTTTTCTGTTCTCATATTTCTTGTTGATGCTCTTTGCGCTCTATTCTTGGTCGTCGCATCACATTGCACTTTGTTCACTATTATGTTGCATCTTCACAGAACAGGTACAGTGCCCATAGCTCTTCAGAATCATCTGCAGTGTTCCCTCAATTGCTTAGTGAATAAAGGCAGCAATAGTTTGATTTGCAGTCTATGTTGAATTGGTTGGGGGAGTTGAAAGAGACCTTAGCACCCTGGGGAAATCAGCTAGGTTTTCAGCTCCTAATGACTAGTCAGTGATGGCTATCCCTGGTGAAAACTATGGTTTTGTGGACGTAAGATCAAGGTGGCATCAGGCTTAGCCGAGTTGCCTTGCTTGGATGAATAGCCTGTCAATATTCACCGTCTAGGGTTCCACATGAATTATGATCACTTTGGTCAAGTAATGGAGAACTCCCCAGATGCTTGTGGAGTCATGTCTCAGGATATGCCATTGCCTTAAGGAAAAAACTAGATAAGCTGTGTCTTTTGTACAAAGTACCTGTGGTCTCTATATGGTCATAAGTGATTTCTCTGCAACTGTTGTATAAATCAAACTACCCGGGTAAACCTGTGATTGAGTGATCTTTATGGCCTTTATGACTTTATAGTTTTTTTTGTTTTTCTCAGTTTATTAAGAACTGTACACGGAGCACCATAAGTAATGCTATCTCCAGACTGCACTTAAATATTATGCTAAGTTGTTACTTTTTTAAAATTGTTTTAAAAGTAGCTAAAACAATCTGACAAAAGGGTGAGTTCTGACGAAGGGTCGTGGACCCGAAACGTTGACTCACTTTCCTTTCTGCATAGATGCTGCCTGACCTGCTGAGTGTTCCCAGCGGCTTCTGTTTTTGTTTCAGATTTCCAGCATCTGCAGTATTTCGCGTTTTGTTTAAAAGTAGCTATTTTGATTCTTGATGCATAATAGTTCAGTCTTTAAGCTAATCACTGTCTTCAGGTACATTTACCCAACCAAACTCTACTTCCAATTCAGGAGTGCTGTTGGAGCGGTTACACAAAAAATGACAAATAAAAATGGTCATTTTCTCCAGTGGCTTTTTTTTTTGCACCCCTTGGATTCCCCGTTGCCAGCGATTGATAAAGAAAGTGAAGTACAATACCAACATGCATTTATATAGCACCCCTCACGCAGGGTAGCGTCGTAGAGCGCTTGATAGTGGCAGAGCACAACGCCGAGCTGGTGGGATGGGGAGGGGGGGGGAGTCAAATAGGAAGGTCTGCAGGTGCGACCTGAAGATGGGAAAGGGAGGAGCAAGGTTGAGTGATAGAGGAAGAATGTTCCAACGATTCGGGGTGTACTGGCTGAAATTGCGGCCACCATTGGTGGAACGGAAAGCACGAGAGACATGCAGAAGGCCAGAGCCAGTCGAGCAGAGGCAGTGGGTTGTGGTGTAAGCAGGTTGGAGAGGTAGGGAGGTGCCAGGCCGTGAAAGGATTTTAAAGCGAGTGTGAGGATCTTGAAAGCGATCTGTTCAGTGGTAGGGAGCCAGTGGAGCCTGGCTAGAACTGGTGTTATGGGGGTACGGGTGAGTATGTGGGCGGCAGAGTTTTGGATCAGCTGTATCCTAAGGATGGTGGAGCTGAGGAGACCAGCAAAGAGGGCATTTGAGAAGTTGAGGCGGGGGGCAGACGCGTGGACGAGTGTTTCAGCTGCATCTGGGGTAAGGTATGGTCGGATGTGGGCAATGTGGGTCGACCCTGTCTCCTATGTTTCACTCTGGTTCGGTACATCTGAGGGATAGGCCAGGGAGGTTGAGGAGGTCAGAGCTGCAGGTTAGAAGACATTGACGGGTGCCAATGACAATTGACGGGTTTCCGTCTTATGAAAATTGAGTTGTGGGAAGATTTCGCTCATCCAGGGCTGGTGAGTCGGGGGACGTGGAGCAGGCCGGAGCTGGCTGAAGGGAGAGCGTGGGCGGGTTGGTAGGGGGTTAGGAGGTCGCAGAGATAGGGTGGGGCGAGGCCATGGAGGCCTTGTAGGTGAGGACCAGGATCTTGAACTGGATCCTCTGAAGGATAGGGAGCCAATGGAATCGGGCGAGAATGGGGGAGATGGGGTCAAGGAGTTTGGTGCGGGAGAGGACACGGGCTGCAGAGTTCCGGATTATCTGCAGTCTGTGGAGGGAGGATTTGGGAAGGCCGATAAGCAGGGCTTTTGCATAGTCGAGCCTGGAGGTGATGAAGGCATGAACAAGAGTTTCAGCGGCCTGAGGGGTGAGTTAGTGGCGGAGTCGGGCGATGTTACGGAGGTGAGGGAAAGCAGAGCGGGTCATGGTTTGGATGTGTGGGGAAGAAAAGACAGTTGAGGATCGAGACACCCAGGTTCCTGACTGGCTTGGAGAGTTGTGTGCATCCATGGAGGTTGATTCTGCCAGAGCCTGAGGTGCAGAGGCGCTGGCGCGAGCCAATCAGGAGGGCCTCAGTCTTGTTCACATTCAAC